GGAATATTCAAGTGAGAATGAATTCGAATTTGTTCACGTCCACGGTGCGCCAATTCTCGAATTCGCTGTAGGCGACGTTTATGCGCTTGACTGACATTATCTGGATGTTTTCGCCTACGTTGTATGCTCAATTTAAACATGATTCGCAGAGATGAGTGTATTAAAATCCACTGAAAAAACAGACACCGGACCGGCCTAATGAAGACAATTAGAATTAACTATCAGATTAGTTGCAAAAACGCGGAGTTAGTGCTTCGAATTTAACTGTATGTAATTTTGTCCCCAATGAATAAATACTTTCTATATTAAAAAAAAGGAAATTTATTATACAACCTTGGCTGAAGTTGCAGGCCACAACCGCGATTACTCAGAAGATCACGTTCTTTTTTCGAAGGAAATCTGCGAGAAGCATAAAATAGTTCACGAAACACGTAGAAATCTCAGACATTTATATATTTTTTTCCAGTAACTAGGCAGAACGCGCGCTTCGCGCGCCAGCCAGACTGCATGGCATTGATACTTACATCATTTTTTTGAATTCTACTCATTCTCACACTTCATTAATTTGGTTCAATACTTTTCTCCTTATGTTTCCTCAATACGTACTTAAAAATGAATGAATGAAAGCGCGAAAATGAGAAAATTGACTCGCATGATGAACCAATAGTTTGTCAATGAACTTTTCTATCGTCTCACCCCCATTCCACTGATCGGAATAAATGGATCAAATGAAATGTCAGTAGCTTTAATATTTCAATTCATTTATTTTTTAATTAAGCACTCATAACTTTGTTAAAAAAAGTTCAAATTGAACGATCCATCTCTCAATTTGAAAGTTTTTTCAATCACCTTCATCCCTAATATAATATTTGAGCTAGTAATTAAGTCAGAGAACGGCACTCAGGACAAAACCTTCAAAAAATGGCAAATTTTAAATTCGTGTCGTGCGAAATTCGACAGATAATCACCGGTAACTCTTCACCAAGTGAATAGTATAGAAAGAATGGGGCACCATTTTGAAGACCTCGTCTGATATTTTTGAGATGGTGTATGATAAAGTCACATTAGTCGAGTCCAATGGGCCGACAATTAACAAAAACTACAAATTTTACAGTGTGACATTACGTTCACAAGGAATTTCTGGCTCAAAACCTCTCATAATTTTGCGACAAACGTTTCAAATTAAACGATTTACCTCTCAATGTAAAGGTTATTCAATGAACTTAATACCACATATAATATTTCTGCTAATAAGTAAGTAAGAGATAATGAGCTTCAAAATGTTAGATTGGTTATTTTCTATTTGCCTTAAAAAAAGGCAGAACAATCCAGTGGAAAGCAAATTTCAAGTGGAAACACGAAATTACAATTTCTGCCTAAAAGTGTCATAATTTATTAAAAAAACCATTAAATTGGAATGATTCACGTATCAATTTGAAACTTGTTTAATAGGCTTTCGAATGAGTATAAAATATATGGGGTTCATCAAAGAGCAAGAATAATTATTAGTGTGAAAACCAGAAAAAGACCATTACTCATTACTTGTGAAGTAATCTTACTTTTAACAACCACCCCAAACTAATTTTCGAATGAAATAATCATAAAAGCGATTCATTTGCAGTAAACGAGCCGGCACAAAAGTTCAATACGATTTTTTAATAAAAAAAAGAGACGTGCGAGAGAAGGAATAACCGCCATATATGTTCTGAAATTGCAATGGATTTTTTTACACTTTTTAAAGGGAAATGAGCTCAAAAATTGACCTCCAAGTAATCCCGTGCTCCCACACTTTCTGCACACACCCACAACCCCTGCTGAAACTAAAAACTTCTTCCGAAAAAACGCACGTCTAGCTCAGTGGGGTTTCTCTGGGAAAAGGAAGGACGGAAGTGACGTCGTGACATGGTAGCGCGATACTAATGCGCAGAAGACAAAAATTATTTTTAACACAATTTTTTTTCATTTTCAGGATTTTAGGTCATCAATATAATAGTAAAACATATAAAAATTAATTAAAAGTGAATTAAAATCATGAGAAACGCACGGATCTATTTACATCGCATCAGTATCATAAACGTTCGATACCAGTACGCCGTACTCGTACCATACCAGTACGGCGTACTGGTATCGTACCTTTATAATATACCAGTATGTCGTACTCGTACAATACCAGAACAATACTAGTACGGCGTACTGGAATCGTCCCTTTACGATACTGATGCGATGTAAACGGACCCAGACTTCTCTACCCAGATAGCACAGCGTACCGTTGTGTTTTCTGGAGTACGGCCGTACTGGTATCGTACCTGCACCGTACTACCGCGAGATGGCGACGTACGCTCATACGAGTATGATACTAGTATCGTATGCGTACGTCGTACCGCTCCAAGCCTGTACGAAATGCGGTACTCAAAACCCGTACGATACTAGCACGGCGTACCGGTAGCGTACCCATTCGCAAAAAAAGTATGACGGACTTCAAGAATGCGGGTACTGTGTCGGTACATCGTACTGATATCGTACCCATTCGAAATACAAGTATCGCGTACTCTTATAATACTGATAGTATAGGTATGAGAGTATTGTAAGAGTACGCCATAAATGTACTCCATTTCGACATTTTAATAAAGTATTTATTTCGGTTTTTTTTAGAGGAGTTTTTTAGAGTAGTAGAGTAGTAGTAGTTGCAAAAATGAACCTCTCCTTATACTCATTCCGCCTATATGTACGACGTACTAGTATTGTACGAGCATTGTACGGGTACGGCGTACTGGTATATCATAAAGGTACGATACCAGTACGCCGTACTAGTATTGTTCTAGTATTGTACGAGTACGGCGTACTGGTATATCATAAAGGCGCGATACCAGTACGCCGTACTAGTATTGTACTAGTATTATACGAGTACGGCGTACTGGTATAGTACCTTTATGATATTTATGCGATGTAAACGGATCCAGACTTTCCTGATGATTTGAATTAATTTTTAATTAATTTTTTTTCTTAATTACTTTAAATATTGTTTGCTATTGTTCATGGCCTAAAATCCTGAAAATGGAAAAAACATTGTCTTCAAAATAATTTTGGTCGTCTGCGCATCAATACCGCGCTACCCTGTCGCGACACCGCTTCCGTCCTTCCTTCTCCCAGAGAAACCCCCATGAACCAGACGTGCCATTTTTTGTTCTGTGTTTTGAAGTGTTTTTTGGAGGAAGTTTTCCATTTCAGCGGGTGTTTTGTGTTCCAGAAGAAAGTTTAGTGGTTCCCGATTACTTTGAGGTAAGTTTTTCAATTAATTTAACTTTTATAATGCACAAAAAATGCCCTGAAATTTTCAACCATGTGTGGCGGTTATGGCCTCTTTCACATGTTTTATTTTTGCTTTAAAAACTTGTATTTTGATCTCTTGTGCCGGTTCGTTGAGTAAAAATCATTCAATTGTTAAAGTACTACATTCGGAGATAATTTAGCGGTGGTTATTTAAAGTTTAATTACTTTACGAGCAATGAGCTATGTCCAATCATGTTTTCATGAACAATTTTCACGAATCAATTCAAAACAAATTAACGAATTTTCCAAATTAAATTATTTGCATCCTGAATTGTTATAATTATTATCAAATTTGTCGCGTAATTAAATGTTTTCACTCATTTTACCTCATCATGAGGTTATCGCAAAATATCTACCAAGTTAAGCTTGGTAGCTACATTTCCTTAATAAATCTTGTTGTGGAGAGACATGCGAGTTACTAATTAGATTTTTGAAATATTTCCAAATATTGGGGAAAATCCGTAACATTCTTCGGAAGTGTAACTAAGAGTTATTACTAAAATACTCTTATTGTACTTCTTAATCACTAAATTGCTCTAAATAAATAATAGCAGCAATAGGAGAACAACAAAATTCAATTTAACATCCTGTTTATATATTTATATAAATATTACGACTATCAGTAATCGATTTTGTTAGTCGTTTTGTATGCCACAATATCATTGCGGAAAAAAAAACATACAAATGTTTGAGTTTTGCACGTGTTTCGTCAACTATTTTATGCTTCCCACAGATTCTCTTTGAAAAAAGAACGTGATCTACGAAGTAATCACGGTTGTGACCTACAAGTTCAGCCAAGGTTGTATGATAAATTTTGGTTTTTCTTCCTACAGAAACGGTATATGAATTACTGATAAATTAACTGATAACTAATTGCTGATATATTTCAATCTGCATCGTAAACTCCGCGTTTTTTTAGCTAATCTAAAATCTAATAATAATTCCAAGTGGTTTTAGTAGACCGGTCCGGTGTCTACGTTTTGAGTGGATTTTAGTAAAACGGTATATAATCGTTATCTTTGTGAATCATGTTTCAATTGAGTATAAAACGTAGGCGAAAACATCCAGACACTCTCAGTCGAGAACATAAACGTCGGTTATCGCGAATTCGAGAATTGGCGCGCCGTGAACGTGAAGAATTGCAAATTCATTCTCAATTAAATATTCCCAGTTTTGCTCGAGAGAATCATATTTCTGCACAAGCTATGGCTCCTCAAAATAATGATGCAATGGAGAACGACGATCTTCATCTCCACACTTCTCACTTCGATAATAGCACGCTTGATCTTTCGAATGTTCCTCGCGCGCTCGAAGATTTGAATCTCTCATGCGCGCCACACGAAGGCGATCCCAACGGGGGACCGGACGCGCCGAACAATTTGAATCCCCCCAACGCGCCAAACGAGCAAAACGACCCCGATGGAATTCCGTCTTTCGCGCAGCAGTTGGCTACTACTTTCGTCAGAAGTAACATGACTCATCGCCAAATGAATAGTGTGCTTGCCACTCTTCGGACCCATTCTTGTTTTAAACAATTGCCCATCGATTGTCGTTCAATCCTCGACACACCGCGAAATCCTGCGGAAGTTGTAAATGTTGCTGGAGGAGAGTATCTTCACCTAGGGCTTCGTGAAGCAATAATTTCTATTCTTCAAAAAACTCCCACTAACATGATTCCTGACTCGTTCAAAATCGATTTTAGTACGGATGGGGCTACATTGGATGCTCAACAAAAAATTCAAATGTGGCCAATTCAAATTCGAATCGCGAACATTCCACGTTGTAAGCCAGAAATTGTAGGTGTTTGGCGTGGTTCTTCTAAACCTACTAATGCTCATGAATTCCTCGATCGTTTTATCAATGACTTTTTGGAAGTCAATAATAATGGAGGCATTGTTCACAATGACAAATTATGTCCGACTGAGCTTCGATGTTTTATTGCTGATGCACCGGCTCGCGCGTTCATTTTAGCCCATCTCGGTCACACTGGTGCTCATCCCTGTTCCAAATGCTGGATTAAAGGCGACTCAATTCGTCGGGGAGTCACGGCATTTCGTGGTGTCGCCCACAGACCTCGAACAGATCAAGAATACGCTGATCGCATTGATGGTGAACACCATTCCGACATCGATAGTCCTCTTCTTCGTCTTCCCATGGGTCTCGTCACTCAAGTTCCATTTGATTACATGCATTGTGTCTGTTTAGGTATCACCAAAAAGATTCTCTCTGTTCTCGTGAAGGGAATGTATGCATCAGATTTAAAGCTTCGACCTGATTCGCTTGGAGCTCTGAATGCTCGGCTGCGCGTAATGAAATTACATTGTCCGGTAGAGTTTGCCCGCAAACCAGAAGACTTGATGCGTTTTTCAACGTTCAAGGCCACGGAATTTCGTCAGATTCTACTTTACACAGGTCCGGTATTGCTCAACGGAATGGTAGATGCATCGGTTTACTTACATTTTCTAAGTTTTCACGCTGCCATGCGTATTTTGACGCGTCCGTCCGGAACATTGCAAAGCGATTATGAGCTGGCTCAATCACTGATACGCATTTTTGTTGAGAACTGCGAAATGGTTTATGGTGCGGAATTCATGAGCTACAATCTTCATTGTCTCCCCCATGTCGTTGAGGACGCTAAACGTTTCGGATGTATTGATGGATTCTCGGCATTTCCTTATGAAAATAATATGACGTACTTCAGGGAATCTTGTCGCAAACCACATCAGCATTTGCAACAAATTTACCGGCGAAATATAGAAAGGAAAACCGTGGACATCCGGGAAGGAATCTCTGTTGAGGAATCAGTTGCTTCAAGATTAGTTGCTGGCAAACGTTGGCATGGACCTCTTCCACCATCTGTTCCAGCAAATTGTTCTCAATATCGCTCACTCCAATATCGCGGCCTCATTATTTCGTTGAATAATCGCGATGACACGGTGCTTTTGGATGATTCTTCGATAAATATTGTTCAAAATATTATCACAATTGACGATGAATACTGCCTTGTCATGAAGAAGTTCAGAAGGGCTGACGAGTTCTTTAACGTCGGGTGTTCATCAACCTCAGTTGGAGTTTTCCGCTGTTCAGCCCTTCTTGATGAAACTTATAATGTTCCAATTTCTCAGGTTTGCGGTAAATGTTTTCGAATGCCTTACTGGCATAGAGATTGTCCTATTCCCATCCCCGGAGTTTTTATTGCAGTTTTGCTAGCATCATCGCTGTCTGTGTAGGAGTTTTGCCATCTACGGTTTTTTATTGTGATAGATTCTTCTATGCGTCTGTTGATGTATGTTCCGACAGAAATAATATTATTGCGGTTTGCCCATTGTGTCCAGCTGAGTTGGTGGGGCATCCATTAGTACTTTGCTTGCCGGTTGCATTTCATTGTTATCTTCTGTCTGTCGCGGTAGAGTTCGGTAACGGTTAACAATTTGTGAAGGTTGCGAGAAAGTTGAGAGTGCATATAGAGTTAGGGCAAATTCGGATTATACTGTTTACTATCCACTGATAATTTTCGGGCAGAGTTTAGTGTTGATTTTTACAAGTGTCATTAAAATGTAATTCTTAGATTTTTCGTTTTTACTCCAATGGAATATCTTGTTTGGCAAGGGATTTGGTGATGGAGTCTACCCAAGAACGGGGACAGGGAGTACGGGTGCGAGGAGGAGGGCGAGGACGCGGCAGAGGAGCAGCAGGAGGAAGAGGCGGAGGAGCAGGACGGGGATCACGTGGGCGAGACCCTCTCATAACGGCACGCGCCCTGTCATCGATGGCGGCCGACATCGAGGCGATCAATTCCCTTTCCCAAACCCCTTCATCCCTTGTCCATCCTATAGCTTCAACATCTACCTTCCAACACTCCCAAACTACCTCTTTTATTTCCCAACGGAGCTCCACCCCGGACTGCAACTCACAGAGTCCATCCCGTCCATTGATGTCCCCATTAACACCACGCCGACCACCGGAGTTTGTTTCAGGGGCTGCTGCGATTGAGGCAAGGAGGAGTAGAGCAGAGGCGCTGAGGGCAGAGGGTGAGAGGCTCCAGGCAGAGGCAGCAGCAGCAGCAGAGGTAGCAGCAGCAGCAGAGGCAGCAGCAGAGGCAGCAGCAGCAGAAGCAGAAGCGGAGGCAGCAGCAGCAGAAGCAGAAGCAGAGGCAGCAGCAGCAGAGGCAGCAGCAGCAGAGGCAGAAGCAGTCGTAGCAGCAGAGGAAGAAGCAGCAGCAGCAGAGGAAGCAGCAGTGGCAGTAGCAGCAGCAGTTCCAGCAGCAGTAGCAGCCCCAGCAGCAGCAGAGATGGACGAAGCAGCGGAGATGGCCGGTGCTCCACGATGGGCGTGAGTCACATTAAAAAAAATTGGATTTCTGGGCTAAAAGTAACAGGTGTTCCTTCACAACAACTTATTTTTACAGGTACTATCTGCTAAATAAACTACAGGCAGTCGAGCGCTTGGTAAGGTAAGATCACAGATCGATGCAATGTTTTTTGTAGAAAATTATGAATCTCATAACACTCAGAATTCTCATTCAATATTTCTTTCTTTTCAGGCAACATCAGCGTCAACAATTGCAGAGACCTGATGACCTCCCTCAAGGATTCCCGCTGAAGAGTTTGCAGGACTTCCTCGCATTTGAAAATGCAGACCCTAGCATTTTCGATGATTTAGTATGTATAATAATTGTTTTCCAATATTTTTTATAGCGATCCAACAAATATTAATTGGTCTCTATTTTAACAGGTTGCATTTTTCGTCCATCTCGGAGAGGATAATCCGCAGGAATGTGCGAATGCTTACTTCCATGCGGCATTCCATCCCGAGGAGCACGTATCGGAGGAAATGACGTGGAAGGGGATTCCCCGTGACGGCAATCCTCCGATCGTGAAGTACTCCCTCCAAAGGAGCCGCTTTACTCGTGCTTGCCGTGGTAAGTACTTATGGTCTGTCTCATAATGATTCAGATGTACAATAACATCCTACCTACCGATTCATACTATCTACTTTTCTTTCAGAGGCCATGCAGAGAAACAACAAGTTTCCAGGGCCACGGGAAGACCAATTCTGCATCTGCATGCAGAGGTCCCTGAAGGCCCTGGAAAACCGCCGCCGCCGCAAACGACCGCGACAAGATGAGGACAACCACGACCCAGCACCTCAACGACGCCGTATAGCCGAGGACCGAGAGCTGGAACAGGATGAGGACTTGCACGAGCTCTTTGGAGACCTGCTGTAGAAAGAGGCCATGTTGGTGAGCTGTGTCTTTTTCTTTCTGTCTTCATTTTCATTATTTGGAGGTGCTGTATGCTGTTTTAGGGTTGAGCATCACAGAAGACAGCGGGGAGGGGCTGTTTTCCCTTTAATTGTTCTCATTATTTTCAGGAATCTGCTTGGAGAGACAAAGTTTTGGTTGCGTCTCACAGAAAAGGGCGGGGTCGGGGCCCTTTTCATTACTAATCATTTTTGTTTGTTTCAGGTGCAGCTGTAAAATCGATTGGAGAGACTAGATTTTGGTTGTGTCTCACAGGAAAGGGCGAGGTTGGGGCCCTTTTCACTACTAATCATTTTTGTTTGTTTTAGGTGCAACTGTAAAATAGATTGGAGAGACTAGATTTTGGTTGTGTCTCACAGAAAAGGGCGAAGTTGGCGCCCTTCCCACTATTAATCATTTTATTTTTCAGGTACGCCTCGAGAATGGCTTGAGGACACAGCTGTACAGTGTCTCACAGGTAAGAATTGTCATATTAACTTTATAACTAATCCCATTTTTACCTTTAGTATTAATGTTTGTTCTTTCTCAGTTTTAGCACTTCACAAGGGGACGGGACGTGCGACGATGCTCACATCTCCGTTTTCTGTATGGATGATTTTATTAAATTTATATTTAAAACCTGGATGGACTATCCATTGAACGTAGTCTTTTGTTTAAATTGTATCTTTTTAGCTTAAAATACATTATAATTGATTAAATTTAAAGATTAAATTTGAGTTTCGGGAACCTGTCGAATGATTATCAAAAAATTAATGAAAAAAAAGAGGAAATATTACTAAAGGGTGCTAAAATGCGATATTGTTTAACAGAGATCTACCGAGTTCATCAAAAAATTAAAAAAATTACGCAGCTTACCATTGTTTTCGAGGTAATTGAGTGACAGCTAGACGCAATAATAAGCTACGTTTTTTTTTTATTTTTTCGTAAACTTGGTAAATCCTTTTTAAACAATATCGCTGTTTGGCGCCCTTCAATCATTTTTCCTATTTTTGTCATTATTTTTTTTATAACCATTCCACAGGTTCCCGAAACTCAAATTTGATGCCAAATTTTCATGTATTATAAGTTAAAAAGATACAATTTAAACAAAAGACCACGTTCAATAGATAGTCCATCCAGGCCTTCAATGATTAAATGATTCAATTTATGTTAATATATGTAATTTATAGCAATAAAATAAATTTTTATATATTTTGTTCATTTATTATTTTCCTAATAATGGTGGTGAAGGGCCGGAGGGGTGGAAAGGGGGTAGGTACGGGTTAGATGGCGCGTACTGGTATAGTCGTGGTATGGTACCATTATGATATTTCTATACTGGTACGCCGTACGCGTACCGTACCAGTAGTATACTCACACAGCGGTGTGAATATAGCTACTTCATAGAGGTACGCTATTAGTAGGCAAGCCGTACGGTGTACTGGCCTGCCATACTAGTTTTATACTGGTAGAATACGCACGTAGATGGCGCGTACGGTACCAGTACAGTGCAGTACGCCATACTCACACCGTACTAGTATCGTACGCGTTCGTGTGCTATCTGGGTAATGATTTTAATTAAGTTTAAATTAATTTTTATATTTGTTGCTATTATTGATGACCCAAAAGGATGAAAATAAAAAAAAATGTTAAAATGTTAATGTAACTTGTATTTTGAATGGCCCAGATAGCACACGAACGCGTACGATACTAGTACGGTGTGGGTATGGCGTACTGCACCGTACTGGTACCGTACGCGCCATCTACGTGCGTATTATACCAGTATAAAACTAGTACGCCATACCAGTGCACCGTACGGTTCACGTACTAATACCGTACCTATTTCAAAGTACCTATATTCACACGGCTGTATGAATTTACTATTGGTACGGTACACGTATGGCGTACTCGTATGGCATACTAGTATTATAATGGTACAGTACCGGGTACCACTACTATACTAGTACGCGCCATTTGGTGCGTACCTAAACTCTTTTTCGTCCTTCCTGCCCTTCCTCGCTAATATTAATGGAATTTATAATAAATATAACTAACAAAAGATGTGTAATTATCAAAATCATAGATTTTTTGGAAATTAATACAAATTTTACAATATTACCAGCAATATAGAACATAACACTAAAAAAAATGGGAACAAATCTGAATATAAAATTTAATTAAAAATTAATTAAAAAATAACTATTTGAATGTTCTTTTTTTGGACATCTTGGTATCACCTTGTGTCTCGTTCGGACGTGCTGAAAAACAGAAAGAACAAACATTAATAAGGATCAAAATAAATTAAGGAAAAAAAAGGTCGGTTAATAATGGTAATCCTTACCTGTGAGACAACCGACATTTAATCTTGAAGCTATTCTTCATGCTGTACCTGAAAAATAATCTAATTAATAATGGCAAGGGCCCCGACTGCCCCCTTTCCTGTGAGTCACAACCGAAATTTAGTTCCTCCTATCCATTTTACAGATGCACCTGAAAAAAAAAGGAACGATTAGTACTGAAAAGGGCCCCGACCCCGAGCTTTTCTGTAAGACGCAACCAAAACTTTGTCTTTCCAATTGATTCTGTACCAGAAAAAAAAATGATTAGTAGTGAAAAAAGCCCCGTCCCCTCCTTTTTCTGTGAGACAGACCCAATGACTTATCTCTCCCAGCAGATACCTGAAAATAATCAGAACAATTGAAGGGAAAACAGCCCCTCCCCGCTGTCTCCTGTGACGTTCAACCTTAAATGCAACGCCTCCAAAAATAGAAACTTAACATAGGAAAAGAAAAATACAACTCACTCTAAAAGTTGTCTTCGTGTTCGTCCTCCTCCTCTGCGTGTTCCTGCAGTAAGCCTTCGAAGATCTCATTGAAATGGGGTCGTTGAGGGGCTGGTTCTTCGATGTCATCGTGATCCAGTCGCTGACGCTTGCAACGGCGGCGATTCTCCAGGGCCTTCAGGGACTTCTGCATGCGAGTACAGAACTCATCTTCCTGAGGCCCTAGGAACTTCCGGTTCATCTGCATGGCCTCTGACAACGAAATAGATACCATGAGCATTTTAAATGATAATATACGCGCCTGCAGGGTTTGTGTTGTGACGTGTTTTTGCCCTCCGTGGAAGAAGGGAAAAATATACGCAGCCCTCGGCGACCAATCTAAAACGACAAAAGTTACGCGCAGGACGTTTTTATTAAAAACGGCAACAATTTTCAAAAGACAAATTAACAAAAGAACAGCTGCCGACTACTCAGTATATCAACCGCGGAGGCGGCTGGGTTCCCAACACTGACCTTGGATTCTGAAATGGCTGTGTTAATTCAAACTAATCGAATTTAATAATTGCGGGGTAACAAAATCATTAATTTAATATCAATAATAAAATTATGAAAACAAAATAAATTATCATACAAAGCCCCGACTTAATCTTGATTAAAAGATCACGCTGCTTCTGCTCACAATTAATAAATAAGTTCACAAATAACAAATGTGTTAAACCAGACAA